ACTAAGCTGGTACGATGTCCCAAGCTTGTCCAAATTTACTATTTCATTAACCTGAATTAAAGGAAATGCCATTCTTATGAACATATGATTTTTTTCTAATATAGAGAAAAGAACAATCCTTTTGGTCGTGCTGTGGTAAGGAGGTTGATTTTTATGTCTACTACGTTACATGGACATGCGTATTTTGCAAGTTGGTGCTGCTCTATGAAACGTAACGGGTGCACCCCAACTGTTGTCTTGTTGTACTTCATATTTGTTTTGATACAATATTGTTGTTTTGATTGTTTTTAAGTCACGACCCTTTTCTCTGATTTTATACGCTTCTTGTGTATGTATGTCAGGGGGCTCTTCGTAATGGAACACCAATTGCAGCTAAGGTACTCTCGGCAGAATCAAGGCAAGGGGTTAATGAATTTTTGACTGAGATTGATGTCATCACAAATGTTAAGCATCCAAACCTTGTTGAGCTACTTGGTTGTTGTGTTCAAGAAAGCAACCGGATTTTGGTCTATGAGTATGTGGAGAATAATAGCCTTGATCATGCATTGCTAGGTAAAGCGACAACTGTTCATGGTTTAAAGCTGTATATTTTTAGGATAATTTCATTTACATATTTTGAGAATTTCACTATCCTTTTAGGTCCTCGTAGTCGACCAGCTGATCTGAATTGGGATATACGATCTGCAATTTGTTTGGGCGCAGCCAGAGGTCTTTCTTATCTCCATGAAGGAGTTGAGCCACATATTGTGCACAGAGATATCAAAGCTAGCAATATTCTCCTTGACAAAAGTTTTCTTCCCAAAATCGGAGATTTTGGTTTGGCCAAGCTGTTTCCTGATAATGTGACCCACATCAGTACACGTGTAGCTGGAACAAGGTAAGAAATTGTTGTATATTTTGAACTTTGCATTGTTTGCAGTGTTCAAATTTGGTAGGATGTGTTTCCAGTATTTAGATTTTGTATTATATCATGCAGCGGATACTTGGCACCCGAGTATGCAGTGCAGGGCCAGTTAACAAGTAAGGCAGATGTATATAGCTTTGGGGTTCTTTTACTTGAAATAATTAGTGCTAGAAGTAGCTCAAAAGCAGCTTGGTCTGTAAAGGAGAAATACCTCTTAGAATGGGTAAGTCCATAGTTCACTTCAGGCCATTTCTTTTTAACAACGATTTGCTCTCCATTTTGATATGACCAATTATCTAATTTCTCATGGGTAATGCGGTCCATGCTATTTTGATATGATTTTTTCCCTTGATATTCGATGCTTACCTTTATATGGGATCTTCATGGTTTAGTAATCATAGAGAGTCAGAGACATACCTTTCCTAGTAGAAGACGCCTGAACGAACATGTACTAAGTAGGTTTCTATAGTCCCTTAAATAAATCCAGGGCTATATTTAAAGGCTCATTCTTGCAGTGTATTGAAAAGCTGTAAGTGGCCAAAATTTTGATTTTACTCTTTCCAGAGAAGCTTCAGGAAAAGAAATTGAAACTATAGGTCGTCTCTGCTTGTATTGTGGTAGATGTGCTTTCCCTGTTGTCTTGGAATTCAATGGGAATAGTTTTGTGCAACTAATGTATTTGATACATGTGAAGAAGGGGGAATCCTTAGTGGAATTAGCTATATTGAGCATTTTGTGAATGTTTTATGATTCTTAAAGAGGGTACCAAGGACGATAAGGATAAAAATCAGAGATCGTAAATTAGTTCCCTTATAGAAAGCAAGAATTATGTTGTCCGATTATTAGCCATTGGAAAGTAAGACGTCAAGGATGTCAACCAAAGGACATACTCTAGTATGATGTACCATAATAGATTTATTGCATAAAAGGTGGTGACTGAAGATAGAGAGTATTCAGTGTGTAAATGATGTTGGACATTGATAATGACATCCTCTGTGGAATTTCAACATAAATAGCACATGTTTCAATCAAGGTTTTCCGCATTTTGGTGTAATCTGCTTTTTCTTCCCTTCCCATTATTATTTTTCAGCCCGTGTTGAATGTTAATGGCTCATCAACTTATTTCAGGTGTGTTTGGACGTTATAATAGAAATATAGCATTTATTCTCATAGTTGTCTTTAATGCCTTTGCTGATATAAATGTAGTCAAAAACAGTTGCCAATATAAATATAGCATTTATTCTCATACACTGCTGCAATAATTGGGCATCTATCAGATGCTTTCACTAGCAAAGGGAATACATCCAGATGAACTTGCATAAATATATATGGCAAATCATTCTCATGATAATTAATATTGTTAATTTCGCAGACCTGGCAACTTTTCGAAGAAGAAAGACTAAAAGAGATAATAGATCCAGAGCTCAAAGAGTATCCAGAAGAGCAAGTCATCAGATACATCAAGGTTGCTCTCTTCTGCACTCAAGGTGCAGCTGCAAGGAGACCTACAATGTCTCAGGTTGTAGAGATGTTATCAAAACCCATCAGGCTCAATGAGAAAGAGCTGACTCCACCGGGACTTCTCCTTGACTCCAGAAGAACTGGGAGAGGGTTTCAATTGAAGAAACTTGATTCGGATAACAAGGATTCATCAACGATGATGACTACTTTGCCGTTTTCCTCAACGTCTGTTACCTTCAGTGAGATGGGTCCTCGATAAGAAAGGAACATCATTGCATATAGAAGCTAACCAGATCTATTTACTGATTTATTTTTAGCCTGCAATATTTATTGTATATTTATGCAGTTGCTCAGAGCTGTATTGGCTTGAATTTCTCCTTCAACCTGTACTGGCTTGACTTGCTCCTCCAACCTCACGATGTAAACATCAATGTGTTGGTTTCTTCAATTTTTGAGCTAGCGGAGCACCAAAAAATCTTCTACAATTCATAGAGAATATTTGTTTGTTTGGAAGCAATACACATGTAAAAATTTATGCTGAAATAAAATGCAATTTTGTTTGCTGGAGCTTTTTTGTTTGCACGAAAGTAGATATGAAGTAGCAGAAATAAAGGAAGTAGCGTTACTTGTACTTTCGAGTAAAAAAGATAGGTTTCCTGTAGAAAAGTAAATTTCGGTACTTCTTAAAATGATGACGTGGTGCATATGTAAAGTCCTATCATCAATACAAGCAGTTCAAGAGAGAAGCTACACATATTGACATAAACAAATAATTACAATGGAGTTTCTAATCACATTGGATAGGTTCAATTTATATACATCGAACCATCACGAGAAAAATCTAATACTACGCTTAGATAACAATAGCGGATGAATTCCTGGACCTGGACGCTACTTTAATTACGGCAATACAACTCACAAGCAGGGAGAAGATAATACAGTACCATAGCCATACAAATGAATGTATCATATCAAATAAATACTTCAGCCTCACCAACACTTGACGCATGCTCGAGAGATCAGTTGGTTTTCCAGGCTCAGGGCCTCGGATCAAAACAACCGATGCCTCCTTCTCCTGCTCCTTCTCCTGCTCCTTCTTCCCCCTTCTCTTCTCGATGCTTGGTGCCTCGTTTAGATGCATCAGCTCTGCAATTGCCTTCCAGTATTGTTTGTCCGCATTTGCATGCAACTTCTCTTGGTTTGCCACAAACAGCACATTTGCTATATCCACTCCCAAACAGTAATTTTGGGAGTTGGATTGCCAAAAATACCCTTTTGTTGCCCTTGTGTTATTAAATACCTTTGTGTTATTAAATGCAACGTAATTAATACTCGATTTTAGCACTAACCGGATTTGTTTCTTGGGATATGTTGTGTTATTAAATGCAACGTAATTAATACTCGATTTTAGCACTAATACTCGATTTTAGCACTAACCGGATTTGTTTCTTGGGATATGTTTCTTAGTAAATGAGATCCATAACAATTTTCAACGTAATTAATACTCGATTTTAGCACTAACCGGATTTGTTTCTTGGGATATGTTTCTTAGTAAATGAGATCCATAACAATTTTTACGATTTGAAACATTGACTGCAACGTAATTTGAAACATTGGTTATGCATTTAAGTAAAAATAACAAACTAACACTATTATTTAATTTTTACGATTTGAAACATAATTTTTACAATGGATCTCATTGACTGCAACGTAATTTGAAACATTGGTTATGCATTTAAGTAAAAATAACAAACTAACACTATTATTTAATTTTTACGATTTGAAACATAATTTTTACAATGGATCTCATTGACTGCAACGTAATTTGAAACATTGGTTATGCATTTAAGTAAAAATAACAAACTAACACTATTATTTAATTTTTACGATTTGAAACATAATTTTTACAATGGATCTCATTGACTGCAACGTAATTTGAAACATTGGTTATGCATTTAAGTAAAAATAACGATTTTAGCCACTAACCGGATTGCGAATTTTTATGGTGTCCGGTTGGCTTCGAATTCCGATTTTGAATTTTTATAACAATTTTCATTTCCAATACAATTTTCATTTCCAATACAATTTACACAAATTACATAAAATCGTTTTTTTCAAAAATTGTTTTTTTCAAAAATAAATTACACCACTCAGAATTTTTTACTAATTTGATTTGAGCACTCAAAATGTCAAAATTGATTTTGACCTCTTAGATTTTTACCTATAAAAAGGCCAACAGTTTAAGTTTTTCAAATCACACTCACAACTCAATCACTTACAATTACAATCACAAACAATATGAATTCTGGAGATTACAACTCCATAAATCTTGATGAAGTTGAATTCGTCATCGACGAAACACAAAGTGATCCATTCCAGGATCATAGTTCATATGTAGAGTTTGAAGACATTTCAACCGATTTCGGTAATCCGGAAGGAGGTTTTGCTAGTAGAGAGGACATGGATGCTCATGTAAGATATGTTGCTGGCTTGAGGAACGTTACTTTGGCAATTCGTGATTCGAAGGGAAAAGACGGCCGACGGCCCAAAGTTCGATATTTATGTAGCCAAGGTGGCGGATACAGACCAAAAAAGGTTACTGGAACTAGGTCCACTAAAACGACAAAAAATAATTGTCCATTTTGGTTGGACGGAATGGAGTACCCTGGAGGGCGCTGGTACTTTGAAGTCCGGGAGGGGAGACACAACCATCCATTCCCGTCTCATGCTGTGGGATCTCGTTTAGGTAAAATATCCCCTATTCAACTTGAAGTTATTAGGGAGCAAGAGAATTTTAATTTAAGCCCGAGTAATATGTTGGCGTCCATGAAAAGGGCTGATCCGGAGAACAAATCGTGTCAGAAACAAGTTTACAATGCTGTCAGTAAGGTGCGTGCCCAGAAAAGAGAAGGTCGGACCCCGATGAATAATTTCATCCATTTACTCAGGCAATTGAACTACATGTACGACGTTCGGACTGCTGATGAATCTTCCGAACTTGGAGATATTGTTTTCTGCCACCCGGCTTCTTTTGTGATGGTGAATGCATATCCGGAAGTCATGATGATTGATTGTACGTACAACACCAATGAGTATGACATGCCTCTACTAGAAGTGGTCGGTGCAACAAGTACGGACAAAACGTTCACTATCGCCTACGCATTCATGCGAAATGAGAGACAAGAAAACTACAGGTTTGTGTCTTAATGAATTTTAATTTTTGTCATATGTTTAAATTTAAAATTGTTAATTAACATTATTTAGTACAATTGTTTGTCAATGTTATGAATAATGTTAAATTGAATATTTAGGAGGAGTTAATATTGTTATGAACATTATTAGTATTGTTTAATTAGGAGTTATTATTTTTATGAACATTATTAGAATTGTTTAATTAGGAGGAGTTATTATTTTTATGAACATTATTAGAATTGTTTAATTAGGAGTTATTATTTTTATTGAACATTATTAGTATTGTTTAATTAGGAGTTATTATTTTTATGAACATTATTATATTGTTATTTTTTTATTGTTATATTGTTTAATTAGAACTTATTCTAGTATTATTAGGAGTTGTTACTGTTATGAAAATTATTATATTATTTAATTAGGACTTATTATAGTATTATTATTGTTATTAACATTGTTATTGTAGTATTGTCATTAATATTGTTATTATGTTAATTTGTTGTTATAAATTACAATTGACAATTATTTAGTACAGTTATTTTGTCCTACGTTTAAATTTAAAATTATTAATGTTATATTATTTTGCAGGTTTGTGTTACAGTTTATCCGTACTTTGTTCGTTAGCCAAGTGACACCTAATGTCATTGTAACAGACCGAGATTACGCCTTGATGCATGCTGTCGAGTATGTTTTCCCGGAATCCAGGCATCATTTGTGTCGCCGTCACATTGAGCAATGCGTGCTACAACGAGCACTGCAGCAACCTGGTTTTTTAAAAGAGGCGGCAGAAGGATTTAAATTTCGTTGGAATTGGGCGATAAGTGCACCGACCATAGATGACTTTAATGATAGATGGGACGTCTGGCAGCACATTACTCGAATTGGGGAGCATTACTGAACTACTGCATTGACACATGGATTAGTCCGCATTCCCAAAAAATCATGTCAGCTTACATCGACCATTATTTTCAGTTCGGAAGCTACACAACAAATAGGTAAGCCTTGTGAGATTTACGTGACTAAATAATCGTTACATGTAGTCAACATTAATAATTAATATTCAAGTTCAATTGGTAATGCAGGGTCGAAGGAGAACATCATCGCGTCAAACGACATTTAGATGGTGGTCGGTACCCATTCGATACCGTACTGGAGAAACTTCACAAGGTGATGGAAGGCCAAATCTGTGAGATTAAGAAAGTAGCGAGAGTTAACGCTACTAAATCCAACACAGACACCCTTGGAGATACGTTGTTTGTTAATCTGAACAGATCAATCACGTTTAAAGCATTCGGCCTCATAAGGAAAGAAATGCAAGTTTTACAAGAAATGGGTCAGGATCCAACAACGTGTGGTTGCTACCTAAGGAGAACTCATGGTCTACCGTGCGCACATGAGCTTCAGTACTACATCATAAATGGGTATAGCATTCCGTTGGATCAAATACATGATTATTGGAAAAAGTTAGATATTCAGTTTCCAATATTTCCTAATGATGCCGCGGATGGATCCCCGACTCCACCAAATCCAGTGAGGAGGGCGTTGTTCGAAGAAGTCCCTGATATTACTGCACCTCCTACTGCTAAAAAGAAAACCAAGGGTAAAAAGCTCTCTAGTCTCCGTGTACCTTCGGCGTGGGAGAGGGTTGTGAAACAGTACGGATTTAAAAAGTCTCCAAACAAAAAGGTAATACTACATAACTTATGAATTTCTATATTTGAAAATTATGATTTATATTAGTTACTAATTTATTATTCTCAATTTAACATTGTCAACCTATGCATTTGTAAAGGGCCCTGGACGTGTTGCTTCTATCTCCGAATCACAGGGGAGTCCAATGAGCACATCCCAACGTACGGGGCCACCAGTATCACCACTTTCTCCAAATCCTCCGTGCTCAAGGCCTCCAATGTCAACCCCTTCTTCCAAAGGCACCACGTTCATCTTTAAGAATTCTGTATTTGAGAGAGAATTCCCGCCCTACATTAGAAAATACATAGATCAATGCACAGATGTAGCGGCAGACGGAAATTGTGGATTTAGAGCGGTGGCTCTAGCAATTTACGGAACAGAAGATGATTGGGTTAAAGTTAGACAAGACTTAGTAGCAGATCTACAGAATAGAAGCGCCTTGTACGCTCGAATCTTAGGTGGGAGGAGTGCGAGGAGTTCTAATGTGACTAATCTCATCCAATCGATTGCTCACTACCATGGACCAGCGGATGATGATTACTGGATGGCGGTACCGGATTGCGGTCACGTAATTGCAACAACATATAATGTTGTTTTCATGACATTCAGTGAACATGGAGGAAATACTTGTCTGCCAGCGATATTAGATGAAACACAAGGACCTCCAACCCGAAAGGTGGTGTGCGGACATCTTAGCAATGATCATTGGATTTTGGTAAGAAAATTACACTAGTCGACGATCATATAAACAAGTTGAATTTTAACTTTAATTTTTTATATAAAAATATAACTTCAATATTTGTACATTTTTTTCCAGTTGCATATGAAATCAGGGGATCATCCGGTACCACCCATAGCATTTTACTGGAACGACCATCACGACAAATCTGCAGATGGTTTAGATGCACAATTTGCATTCTCGATCAGTCACTTTAACCGTCTCCACAATGAAGATGGAGAACGTCGAGCATCAACAAGAAGAAGAAAGAACAATTAATTAGGATCGAAAAAAAAATTGATGTATTTCGTTGAGTAGATTAATACTTTGATTTTCTAATAAATTTTATTATTATCCTTCATTATAGTCTAACACTTCAAAGATTTCAAACACTTAAACAAATTTTATTAACGATTTTAAAAATTCAAATTATATTAAAATTAAATCAACATTTATATATGTTCTAAAAAAAATTAATTTTTTTAATAACACTTCAATGATTTTTTATGACCCACGGATTATAATGGATTAATTTTTTTTATAACACTTCAATGATTTTTTTAATAACACTTAAAAAAAAATTTATGATCCACGGATTATAAACCGACACGGATTATAGTCTAACACGGATTTTAAATACACAATTAAAATGGAATTAGTTAATAAAACAAAATAAAAAAAATTTATAACCCACCGGACACGGTGTCCGGTGTCCGATTATGCTCAGCAGCGAAAAGAGGACTGTGGACTCAGAATTAATGAACCGAATTAATGAACCTTAATGAGAAGCATTTAATGGTCGATGTAAGCTTAATTAACAATAAAGGGCAATTTCGTCCCTCCACCACTCAAAGTTACTGTTTGAGAGTGGATATAGTTGGACCCCACAAACAGGTGGACCGAGAGTTGGGTCAGAAACCTAGCGAGTCATAAACACAAGGATTAACTGTCGATAGGTCCCCAGTAGTTCTATTGTTGCAGATAGGCTGCCCAGAACTCGGAATCGTCTTTTCCAAGTAATAATTAATTAAATTTCAATTTAAAAGAAATGTATTGTATTGTGAGTAAGGATTCTATTAAAACATTCTATACGAAAGTGGTGATCTGTACCATTTACGGGTGGTCAGAGAGCTACTTTGGGAATTATAACTCTTTTATATATGACGTAGATTACCCACTCCTATAAGAACGATTCCGATTCTGAGAGGATTCCTACTGCTGTAGTGTTTAGCCAATTATATGGAACAATGGAATCAAGAACAATACATAAACTTAATTCTCAATGGAACTATAAATCAATAAATACATAAGAATGAATCTCAAATTTTCACTCAAAATAGCGTGTAAAAACAGCGAATCACCTCTCCGGGGTTGCTCCTGCTTCTATAAAAGCTCAATATCGTCCTTTATTTCATAGTGAGACCTGTGATAAAGTAGGGCATGGCAGTTACGGTATACAATACAACATTGGAGGGGGAAAAAAATTGAAATGAGGCATGCTATTTTGGTATACACAATATTGTGGAAGAAAAAAGAAAAAGAAGAAGAAAACCTTTCAATGAGCCTTGTTAATAGGAGAAAATGTTTTAGTTAATTGAAGAACAGAGGGAGATATAAAGTTTGTTGTGTAGTGACGTGGTGAGCGGATGTGAAAATGCACGGTGCACGTATAGCGTGTGTATTTGCGTGTTTGTTTTGAGTAGTTGTTCATTGCTTTGGGCATTTGGGCTTTTGATGAGATAGAGCACACGCCAGACGAGCATCTGTAGCTGCGCTATTCTTGCAGAGCTCCTACCACCCCCATGGTAATTTCTTTGTTATGATACTACAATTTTGATATCAGCACATATTGGTGGGCTAGTCTCTTTTACTTTTTGTACATAATTATCATTTCTTCCTTAAAGTATTGGTGGTATACTTTTGTTAAAATATAAGTCAACTTTCAAGTTGACTTCTAAAATATCAATTTATCTATTTTTTTTTTCTCTTGAACTGTGTGTATATGTCAAATGTGATCATTTTGTGAGCCTATAAAGAAATATTTAACAATGTGATAGCATTTTTCTGGCAATTCTTGTACATTTTGCGATCTAAAAAATATTTTTTTATTTTGGGGCAAAGATGAGATAAACTGATAAAAACACATGAAAAAATACAACAACAAAAATTATTACATCATTAATTTGTTAAATATTTGTCTGTAGACTCACAAAATGACGGCATTGAAATCATGAACGTAGTTTAATGAGCAAAATAGGTAAATTGATATATTAGGAGCAACTTGAGAGCCCATCAATACTTTAAGAGGGGAAATGCTCATTTTTTCCTTGCTTTTTTTTAACTTTTTAATTTCTATAAATCGACATAGATTGTCACATATTCTAGTCTCTTGACACCCACGAATTTGGATTCTCTCCACTATTAAAAAAAGTTATAAAGAGACCACTACTTTTAATGCCAATAGTTGATTATTTAGTGAGTGATTGAGATTCATTCTAAATTTAGCACTCACTACACTCCCATGTATTACGTGCATACCTAATTTGCACTCAAACACAATTTATATCCATCAACTAGGCAATCAATGATTCTGATAAAATAGTGGTCTCCCCACTACTTTTATTGTAGTGAAGAGGATCTGAATCCGACACCCACATAACAAATATGGATAACGAAATGATGACTCCATTTGTATAACAGAGACTCTAGTGCTAATAGAAAAATTAGAACTCATATGGCTTATGATCCTCTCTACGATAAAAAAAAGTAATAGAGAGACCATTGTAATATCACAATCGTTGGTTTGTTTATTGGGTGGTTGTGATTTATTCTGAGTGTAAATTAGGAAAATAGTGCAATTCACGGAGGTATGATAAGTATTGGATATGAAATGGATCACAACCATCCACTAAACAAAGTAACAATTATGATATTGCAGTGGCCTCTTCATAATTTTTCTTCTCATGGAGAGGATCTAAATCCAAATTGTACTAATGCAAAGATTGTATCTGCAACTAACTTGAATCGTAATAGAATGAACATTGAGGTCCTGTGGCTACTCATTTCACTCTCATTCTCTAATGAAACAATTCATGGACCAATTAATTAATTATTGAATGAACTTGAATATTTTATAATTATGCAAGCATTCAAATAGATGATACAACTCTGACAATGTTAACTCTTATAATTTTTGCGTCAAATTAATATAAGATATGTGACAGTTTCAATATTTCCGGCTAGATATGCATATAATTAGGTGAAAACAAATAGAATATTGGTTTAATGCCTAAGCTTTTATATAGTAACAAAAAACAAAAACAAGAAATCTATATTCAATTTTCCAAATAGATTTTCACTATTATTATTTCAAATGGTAAATTACACCAAACCCCATGAACATTCAAAGTCACACTATACCCCAATAATTTTTGCAGAAAATCCCCATGAACTTTCATAATGTGCGCCTTTTTATGCTGTTTTTTGGTTCTAATTTACGGAGGTTATCTACGAAACTCAGAAAGTTCATCGGAGTTTACTTCAAAACACCGAAAGTTCATAGGGGTTTTGTGTAATTTACCCTATTTCAAACATGCATCTTAACCTTAATCTTCCCTCTCCATCTATAATGACATGACAATTTCATTGTCCTTTGCCTTCCACTTGCTACCAGAATCACCATCTTCTTATCAACAACTCTTCGAACCAGCGAACATAAAGCTAAGCAATGAGAGGATCCTCAAAGCCGAAGAGAAACCTCTCCATCATCCTTTTGTTCGTCCCCACTTGCCTCTTAGCTCTCTTTCTCCTCCATCTCGCTTGCTTGGGCCTCCACATCCTCTGCGTTCGACCCATCGCGACCCGATACACCGCGACCCGACCCTTCAAAACCCAACCCATCCAACACCACCAGAACAAAAGAACCCTTCAAGAATCCGCCCCAAATATCACCAAACAAACCATCACTCCTTCAAAGAGGAAGGCCAAAAGAAATCATCACTCGGATTTCTCAGCCAAAGCCTTCAAATTCTTCAGTGGGCGTAATTGCAATCTGAAGTTCTTCATGACTTGGATATCCAAGAGCGATTCTTTAGGCCCAAGAGAGTTCATTTCAATACAGAGCATTTTCAAATTCCACCCTGACGCTTGCCTTCTCATAGTATCGAACAGTTTAAGTGCTAAAATTCTACGTCCATTAACTTTGAGGGGTTACATGATAACGATATTATCTCCCGATTTCAATTTCCTGTTCAAAAATACGCCTGCGGAACACTGGTTCCTTAACCTGCCCCGACGCGCCATGAACCGCCAAAACCTTTCAAATCTTCTTCGCCTCGCTCTACTGTATAAATATGGAGGAATTTACATGGATGCTGATGTTATCGTGCTGAAGAGCTTATCAGGTGTTTTAACTATTTTATTTTCCTTTTCGAACATTTTTTTTTTCCATAAAATTTAAGACATACCCCCGAACTTTGGGGGTTTTTTGCAGATGACCCCCTTAACTTCTTTTATTTCAAATCTTAAGCGCTTGATTCAAAAGACGCTAATATAGTCGTAAACATTGGAAAAAACATTTTATCTTATTTCAATTAATTTTTTTGATGGTAAGAGGGCATTTTTGCCTTTTTATGGCACGTGGCATATTAGACTTAGGTATGATAATTTCCTGTCCTATAACTTTTCTGTGTTATAGTTTTATATTTTCTATAGATATCTTGTGATGTTCTCTATATAAAAAAAGATATTGATATTACTCATCATTTCAACGAATAACAGCAGATCTCTTTTTCTTCAACATCAGGATTCAAGAATGCGATTGGAGCTCAAGCTATAGAGGCTGGGACAGGGAAATGGTCAAGACTCAACAATGCGGTCATGATCTTCGACGAAAACCACCCTCTACTACACAAATTCATGGAGGAATTCGCGAAGAATTTTGACGGAAACATATGGGGGCATAACGGTCCTTACCTAGTTTCAAGAGTGGCAGCGAGGCCGGTGTTCTATCCGGTGGGGTGGAATAGGATTAGGGGATTGTTTGAGAGGCCTAGAGTGGGGTATCATGAGAAAAGGGTGGAGGCCAAGTACGAGGGGATTAAAAGGGAGGGCTTCGGTTTGCATTTGTGGAATAGGCAAAGTAGGAGGTTGGAGGTTGAAGAAGGGAGTGTTGTTTGGAGAATTATGATGGATTGTTGTGTTTTGTGTAATTTTACAGTTGGTTAGTTGGGGGAGGGAGTTGATGCTGAACAAATCATATAACGTTTGGAAAACAAACCTACTTCGTTTCCTCCATTTGTTTTACATCTTACATGTGAGATTCTTCAATCCATTTTCATCATTGGCTGCTCTACTTTGAGAAATCTTTTTTTCTTTTTTTCCTTTTTCTTTTGAAGCTAAAAACAAGGCGAGGTGCCTGTTCAAAAATATTCATTAAAAGGGCTAACTAAATCTAGATACAGCTAGACTAAGAGTAGCAATGATCAAACAATTCATGCACATGAGTAAGGAGAGGAACAACGTCGTCACCTACAATATAAGATAGATATTGGATTACAACTAAATTTAGCCAAAGCTTAATATAAGAGAAGCTAGATAAAAACGAAATCCAACTATTATGACCATGCTTGACAATTTTTACAAGTAATACAAACCAAAGGAAATCTATAAAGAGTGACTTTGTCTAAAACCAGATAGTGGAAGAAGGAACAAGTAATACAAACAATTTTTTTATTATTGTTTGGGTAGAAAATTATTTTCATTGCTGAATTCATTATAACTTCGGGCGTTACAATAAATTCAAAACAAAGATAGTCTTTTTATAAGACTTTCAATATAATAAAAATACATTACAACTCTCTTTCAAACAACACGCAACAGGTGTTTATTGCCTATTACTTGCGTGAGGTCTTCGTCTGTGCCGGAGATGTTGATATCTGTGGACGACCGCGGATCAGATCCGGCTACCGAAAAATTGACAGAGCTCCTACTTCACCAAGGAAGTATTCACTTGAAGCACTGAAATTGACCAAGGAAAATCAGTAGCTCTTCTCGAGATTAAGACTAAGCCTAATCTAAAGGAACGGACGAACGGGGCTTCAGATCCTTCGAACTCTCCCTCTTTATACTGATGAAGATCGCCGGGATCTGACTTGCCTTCGCGGTAAATTCGTGCTCCTTTGACTCCTCAATCCAGTAGCACCTCGCCCTCTTGATAATAATTCACCCCTTATGAAATGAGCCCCTAGGCCTGTATTTATAGGCTTCAGTTGGGGGGTATTTGGATAAGAATGAGTGATTTGGCCTTATCTTCAGTTAATAACGGCCTAACCACGTTTGTAGATGATATTTAGACAGTTAGAAACCTCTGGAACAGAAGAAACCGATCGAAACAGCCTAGAAACACATTTTGGAGGTTACAGGCAGTTTTGGGAACGAGACGAAGATGACCCGCGCGG